GTGCGTGTGTATGTGTGTGTGTATGTTTGTGTGTGTGTATGTGTGTGTATGTGTGTGTGTATGTGTGTGTGTGTGTGTGTGTGTGTGTGTGTGTGTGTGTGTGTGTGTGTGTGTGTGTGTGTGTGTGTGTGTGTGTGTGTGTGTGTGTGGTATCTGTCTGTATATGAAGACATTGGTATGCTGTTTTATGTTTGCCTTGCGTCCACTTGACAGCAGAATCTCCAATCAGATGTTGGGATATGAAAAAAATTACACAAAGTATTTAAAAAGACACTTCGAAAAATTGAAACCGGACCAAAAGATTTAGGTCATTTGAATGATCAGCTGGAAGCTTGTCCGTGTTATCTGACAAACATGACGTTAATGGACATGTTTATTTTTATATGTTGCTGTAAAAAATAACTAAGAATAAATTGTTTTTTTTTAAATAAATTATTAAAAAGATAAAAAAAGAATTCATAAAGAAGAAGTATAAACTTCCTGGACGATAGTATGAAGCATGTAGCAAAAAGAATTTTCAATGTGTTCTACACGTTTGCTACATTTTGAAAATTTAAATACGGGACGAGAAATAACTCGATGAAGATGTGGATCAGAAGGGATGGTTGAATTGAAGGAAGGACAAATTTTAATAGAAAGAAACAGAGGAAACAGAAAAACAAAGAAAGATGGAGAAAGAGAGAATCAGGAGAGAGGAAGAACGAGAGATGCAAATCTAGATGAAGAAAGAGAGAGAAAAGAGAGAAAGAGAGAGAAAATTTGAGACGGAGGGCTTGGAGCAAAATGACGCGGACACAACTGGAAATAGTTGCATGGAAATGAGATGAATGCAAATTGCAGAGATGGAAAATCTTCCTTAAAAAACATCTTAACTAAGTTACCCTCTCAAATAACCATATACGAATGGATGGATGGATGAATGAATGAATAGATGAATGAATGAATGAATGAATGAATGAATGAATGAATGAATGAATGATTGATTGAATGATTGAATGAATGAATGAATAAATGAATGATTGAATGAATGAATGAATGAATGAATGAATGAATGATTGAATGAATGAATGAATGAATGAATGAATGAATGAATGAATGAATGAATGATTGAATGAAATGAATATATGAATGACTAAGTGAATGAATGCAGACTAAATGTTACTGATAGCGAAGCAATTTGTAAAAGTTGGACAAAGTGCTGAAATTAAAAATAAAAGTTTTGAGAAAAAAAATGACAAAAGTAAAAAGAAAGACAAAAAATTGATATAAAACGTACACGCACGGGATGAAAACTTGAAGGAAGATAAATCGGTAAACTTACGCTAGAAAAACGAAAGAAACATAAACAATCAGGAGAGGGACACGCTGAATACGATTCATTCTGCTCATTGTGCGTTCGAGTGCATTCCAGACGTGCCTACCTTTCCACACACACACACACACACACACACACACACACACACACACACACACACACACACGCACACGCACGCATACACACAGATACATCTACACATACAAACTAATTTAAATAAACACAATGTACAAGTACAACAACAATGACAACAACCATACACAAATTTTTTATTCCATACATTTTTCAATTGAAATAATTGAAATTGACTTGAAGAACGAGTTTTATATCCTGTTTAAATTTATGGCCAGAAAACCTATGGGATGTGTTTGGATGGATGTGTATACCCAAATGTACGTGCGTGCACGTGGTGTATGTACTTGCGTGTGCGTGTGCACCTGCGTGTACGTCTGGCGGTGTGGTGATAAAAACTTTATGATATATTATCCTGGTAACAAAATATATCGCTAGATGTTATTTGCTTTGAGTTTGCCCGTGTGGTTTGACGGGAAGGAAGAAAATTGTTTCTGATTGTTACGAAATCACGTGCATGGCGGTCACCATCATAAATTCTTTCTCGCCAATGAAATTGTTTATTAAAGACAAATCGAATGATCAATCGAGGGATTTATCAGTCAGCCAGTTAATCAATCAATAGATGTTTCAATCGACCCAGCCAGCCAGCCAGCCAACCAGTCAACCAGTCAGTCAGCCAGCCAACCAACCAACCGACCAACCGACCAATAGAGATGAGGACAAGCGTGAAGACAGTGACGTAAGCAGTGACGTTGAAGATGAAGTGCATGAACTGGCAGGCCTCCTCTCCAATGATCCACTCGACATAGTGCCAGTAGTTGTAAGCCGTCAGCAGTGGCACGAAACTGCGAAAAATTTCAGAGACAGAAGGAAATTAATTCATAATTACACATTAAATTTTTTTTTAAATTCCATTTTTTGGTTTGAGAATTAAATCGGCTACAAAAAATAAATTGAATACGGAATAATCTAAAAATAAATTACGAATAAATCTTTACGATTAGACTTAAAATAACTTTTAAAATTATTCTAAAGATAATTTTTAACAGCTAGATAAATTTAACAAAAAAAAGAAAAAGAACGCAAAATTTTTGACCAACCAGACAAACAAGAGGTCGGAAACCGCTAAATTAAGGAGCAACAAATTAGTTACGGTCCGCATTTGCTTCTTCGACACGATTACAAATATTACGAGCAGATTACCGACAAGACCGGTAATCGTGATTACACCGAATAAAACCGGTACCACAATTTCATAGACGTAGTGGTGGAACTGGCTGGTCTCTATGTGCTGCAAGTCGATACAGATTCCACTCATGTTGCTGCAGTATCGTTTGTCGCAGGGATGGATGTCGCAGTATGAAAATTTGTTGTTTAGGTTGTTGTTTATGTTTGTTTTTTGGTTTGTTTTGATGTCTATGTTGTTTGTGTTGTTTACGTTGTTCGAGTTTATGTCTGTGTTTTGATCTGTGTTTATGTTATATCCTGAATATAGTATAGTGAAAACTGATGTGTTGCTGTTGTTGTTGTTGTTGTGTCGTCGATGCTGTCTGAATGAAGTAATGTTGTCGTCGTTGTTGTTGTTTGAATGATGTTTCAATAACGACAACAACAATGATGAAGATGATGATAACGTTGATGACAATGAGGGTAAGATTGTCGATGGATTAATTTTATAAGATTCTCTGCGTTGGCGTTGTTGTGTGTGTTGTTGGGCGTGTTGTTGCGTGTGTTGTTGCGCGTATTGTTGCGCGTGTTGTTGTGTGTGTTGTTGGGTGTGTTGTTGTTTGCGTTGTTCTTGGACTGTTTCCAGCAAATGGGGATACAAATGTTGTTGTTTCAACCCACAACAGTACACATAAAAAGGAACCTTTTTCTCGTTCGGATAATTTGTAAAATTTTTAAACACTTCTCCGCAATGATAAAAACGCTGTCGATAAAAATATCTGGAATGACGTTGATGACGACGATGACGACGATGATAAAAATATTCACAACAAAAATGACGCAGCTGTCTTAGTAGAGATGGACTCAACTTTTCCCACTCGATAAATCGGTAATAAACGTTATCGGTACCTAGAGAAACCGAGGAATTTCGAATAACCGTTATTATTCGTTTTGTCGATATTTTTGTACAGTTATTGATAAAATATTCACAATGGATTGAATTGTGTTTCGTGAGTTTGTTAGTTGCTGCTGCTGATGATGAAGAGGTTGATGATGCTGTCAAGGATGATAAAGATGAGGATGATGAGGAGAATGATGAGGATGATGAAGATGATGAAGATTGCGTGTCTGTTGATGGGAGAAATTTTGATTTGATTTTTCGGTAATGTTCATTGTGTTGGTTGTTATAATTGCAACGAGAACTAAGACGACGACGACGATGATAATAATGATGGCAATGATGACGGAACTGATAATTTTGAAGTCGGCGACGATGAAGATGACGTAGATGACGAAGATGATGATGAAGATGATGATGAAGATGATGTCGCTGACGACCAGGAAATGTGGTGTTAGTTTTCCCTGGCAGATGTTGCGAATTTTTGAAATTTAAAATCTTCAACGATGGCTGATGTGGAAATGGAGAAGATGATGATGATGATGACGAAGATGAAGGCGATGATGATGATGTTGGTGGGTTTCGAAATTGTTTCGTCAATAAGGTTAATGAAGCACTCAAATGATCAATAAAAACATCAGGTCCACTGCATTTGATATGCTGCTGATGCTGCTGCTGATGCAGTTGATGATGACGATGTTGTTGATGGGGTTGTTGGTGAGGATAATTATTAATATTTTTACTGTTGTGGTTATTAATATTCTTATTTAGATGATGAGATGAATTCTTTTTTTGTAGATGTCGTCCAATGTGCGGTTTTGAAGTTTTCTCTCCGACCACAGACCGAATCCTCGCTCCAGATATCAGCTTACTTTCGTCGTGAACACCTATTCGCTCTAACGAAAAGATTTTTAAACGTTTTTTTGATAATGGTTTCGTTTCGTGATGTTCGACAAATTTTGAGAGATGTTCATTCTGCGATCGTTTGATGGAATCGCTCTGAAGTCGGAGTAGATCGTTGAGTTCTGCGCGCGAGTGTGCAAATAGAATGAAACAAAGAGGTGCTGGCTGCCAGATAAATGAGTAGGCCAGCAGAAATAACGCCCTCTCAGGTGCAGTTAAAATGGAAGTTGATGGCGATGAAAGAGACGCTATCAAGTGAATGTTCATTTCTCGGACTGAGAGCTGCTATTATTGAAAAAAACTCTTCACGTTCGCACGCGTGTCTAGAACAATGATGCATAAGATTCCTTTAAGATGCATGCCTGCATGTAAGTGTATGTATGTATGTATGTATGTATGTATGTATGTATGTATGTATGTATGTATGTATGTATGTATGTATGTATGTATGTATGTATGTATGTATGTATGTATATATGTATGTATGTTTTATGTATGTATGTATATATGCATGCATGCTTGTTTATATCATGCATGTGATGATCGTGCAAATGTATAAACATACACATAGACTGAATGTTGTATTTGCGTCAGTGCATTAATGCTTAGATGTTTTGTACGTAAGAAATGTTGGAGTGAATTAATGCATGTACTTGTAAATGGATGAATGTTTAGATAGATAAATAAATGGATAAATAAATGATTGATTGATCGAATGAAGGAAAGAACGAACGAATGAATGAATGCAGTGAATGAATGAATGAATGCAGTGGTTGTATGAGAGGGTTGATAATGTGACAAGCATCAAAGTGTGATATATTCATCAAAACACAGTAGCAATAATATTTTTTTTTAATTTATTTTTAATTATTTGAAAATGTTTTTTTAAAAATTTTACTGTATTAATAAAATAAATTTTTCGACATACTTGAGAAAGAAATATAGGAAAATCTTTTACAAGAATTTTTTATTAACGAGCGTCTTACAGAAGAAAATAGCGTTGAAGACTAACAACAAAGTTTTAACACGATACATACGTGTATGTGTGTATGTATGTATGCATGTATGTATGTATGTATGTATGTATGTATGTATGTATGTATGTATGTATGTATGTATATATGTATGTATGTATGTATGTATGTATGTATGTATGTATGTATGTATGTATGTATGTATGTATGTATGTATGTATGTATGTATGAATGTATGCATGTATGTATGTATGTATGCATGCATGCATGCATGTATGAATGAATGTATGTATGTATGTATGCATGCATGCAGGTATGTATGCATGTACTTTGCATGAATACAAAAATGAGTGTTTACGTATGCACGTTTTTTGTGTATATCTATATCTATTTTTGTATGGGGTGTATGTATGCTCCAGTGTATATTTGTACAACAATAATACACAGACATACAATTGCACAGCACATACAAACTATAAGCAATACAATTTTCCTCCTCTCTAGATACAAGTGAGCTTGCGTCAAAACCATCGTATGAAGTGTTTGTACAGAATTTTGTACACTACACACACACACACGCACGCACACACACACACACACGCACGCACACACGCACACACACAAACATACACACATATACATACACACACACATACGTGTGGTCATGCAAATTTTGTCCTTCATACTTTTGTTTTTGATTTATTTGTTCATTAGTAATTGTTGGTAGTAGTAGTAGAGGTAGTTTTAGTATCCTTTATACCAATAAAATACATTCTTATTAAATTATTATTATTTTTAATAATCGTCATAAAAATATTTTTAAACAAAAATCATAGTATATGTGTTTTTTCGAGCAAAATTGAAAATAAAAACAAACAAATAAATAAATAAAATCATTTTCTCTTAAACCTCGCTTAAATGCCATTCAAGATGACACACGAACGCACGTGTTTGCTTTAAAAAACTGACAAGACCTTATAAAATTTATATTAATATATTTTATATATGTATGTGTGTGAATATATATAAAAATATATATATATATATATATATATATATTATATATATATATATATATGTATGTATGTGTGTGTGTTTTTGTATGAATATTTTTATTTATTTTATTATAACACATAAAAACTAACCCTTGTCAAGTTTCTCCTTCAATGATGTTTGAAGACCATGCCATTTACGTATGCATTAGAATGTATGTAATGTATATATGTAGGTAGGTGGTTATGTGAATTGCTGGTATGTATAACACTAAATTATAACGCCATTTGTGAAATAATTTGTAATTTTTTCATAATTTTCTGACTCAATTTCTGTATTATATTTAAGCAGGAAGAAAATTTTATAAGAGTTTATTAGAAATGTCTCGATACAAAACAGTAACCATTATAATACCGCGTTCGTGTATAGAAGGTACCGTAATGAATGGGCAAACAATTGTATACAATAGTCAAAACTCAATGTCCTAGGAGCTAATGTAATAATCATGTACAAGCGACAAAACTAATTTATAAACAAACAACGAGATGACTGCACTACGTCTATCAGATTCAATGCCAGATATACGTCGATGAATTATGTATGTATGCATGCATGCATGCATGTATGTATGTATGTGTGTATGTATGTATGTATGTATGTATGTATGTATGTATGTATGTATGTATGTATGTATGTATGTATGTATGTATGTATGTATGTATGTATGTATGTATGTATGTATGTATGTATGTATGTATGTATGTATGTATCAAATCAAATCAAATCACAAATCAAATCACTTTTATTCAATCAAACAAAACAAAAGCATGAATGATGAATGATTCGGAGACCAAAAAAAGAAAATTAATTCTTGTGGGCTCGGCCACCGTGCAGCTCAAAATTGCTTCTCAATGATAAAATAAAATTGTCAATAGGAGAAAATGTATCAATGTTAATGAAATATGTACACACTTATATACATATATATACATATACATTATTATCCTTGAAAAACAGAACTTTTCGTAATTAAAAAATTTTTCAGTTTATTTTTAAAAAGATGCAAAGTGTTACAATCTTTAATTTCTTGTGGAATCGTCTCCCATATTCCTGGGCCGGTGTGTTTCAAACTCATGCAGAGTACTTTAATTCTGGCTGGTGGAGCATAGAAAAGTGGCGTGTGGCGTGTA